AAAAATCCACCCCAAAAAAGCAGAATTGAGACTCCAGACACAGAAATGATGATTTTTTGAAGGAAATTTTGCTTTTCTCACCCATTTTTTGTCCTTTTTCCGGCAGTTGCGGCGGCCGCCGGCGCTCGGGCGCTGAACGAAGGAGATCCAGGTGCGCCGGGGGTCGGAGACGGGGGCAGAGGGGGGCTGGGGGATGGAAAAATGGTTTGGGGACAGGAAAAAATGGTTTGGGGATAAAAAAAAATGGTTTGGGGACATTGGGGGACAAAAAGGACCTGGTATGGGACAAAAAAAATGGAGTTTGGGGATGAAGAAATGGGGTTTGGGGATAAAAAAAATTGGTCTGGGGATAAAAAATTGGGGTTTGGGGACACCAGGGGACAAAAAAAACGGGTGTGGGACAAAAAAAATGGGGTTTGGGGAGAGAAAATGGGGTTTGGGGGGGCAAAAATGGGGTTTGGGGATAAAAAAACCCAGCCCAGGGAGAAAATAAATCGGGCCTGGAGACAAAAAAAATGGGCTGGGGATAAAAAAATGGAGTTTGGGGATGAAAAAAATGGGGTTTGGGGAGAAAAAATGGGGTTTTGGGGGAAAACAAATGGGGTTTGGGGAAAAAAAATGGACTGGGGATAAAAATTGGGGTTTGGGGACACCAGGGGAACAAAAAAAAACCTGGTGTGGGACAAAGAAATGGGCAAGGGGCAAGAAAAATGGGGTTTGGGGATGAAAAAATGGGGTTTGGGGGGAAAAATGGGGTTTGGGGACACTGGGGGGACAAAATATCCCATTCCCATTCCCTTTATCCCAAACCCACCTTGGGGTGCCCGTTCCGCCTCTGTCCCCACAATGGAATAATTTGGGATAAATCCCAATCCCATTCCCATTATCCACCTTGGGGTGCCCATTCCGCCTGTCTCCGTGCCCCACACTGGTTTGATTTGGGAATATTTGGGATAATTCGGGATAAATCCCCAAATTCCCATTCCCGTTACCCACCTTGGGGTGCCCATTCTACCTGTCTCCATTGGATTGCTTGGGATAATTTGGGATAATTTGGGAATATTCCCAATCCCGTTCCCATTGCCCCAAACCCACCTTGGGGTGCCCGTTCTGCCCCTCTATGTGCCCCACAATGGTTTGATTTGAGAAAATTTGGGATAATTAAGGATAAAATCCCCAAATTCCCATTCCCACTCCTGTTACCCACCTTGGGGTGCCCATTCCACCCCTGTCCGTGCCCCACACTGGAATAATTTGGGATAATTTTGGAATATTCCCATTCCCATTACCCACCTTTGGGTGCTCGTT